ATATGTGGGCTGTACTATTACGTCGTTTAGATTGAGATTTAACAATCACAAAAGCTCTCTAAATAGGTATGGGCAAGGTATAAGAAATATTAGTGGTCAGCACTTGTATGAGCATTTTTTCGGGGAGGGGCATTCGGGTTTAAGTGACTTTAGGGTTCAAATTATTGATAGAACTGAAGTTATCAACCCTACGGAAAGGGAAAGTTATTGGATAGAGAAAATCAATTGTTATTGTCCATTGGGATTAAACATGAGGGAGGAAAGTAATTACTAGCTTGATTTATGTAAATGTTATGTATAGAGGACTATAAAAGCTCTGGACAAGGCCTTGTAAGGTAATTTGATCGTTTCTGAAGATAGGGCTTGCTCCGAAACGTATATATATATATATATATATATATATATATATATATATATATATATATATATATATATATATATATATATATATATATATATATACAGGGTGTATAAAAAAAACTGAACAGATTTGAAATTGCTCTCAATTTCGCAAAACACCTATGTGTATCCGGTTTTATATATAGATATAGCTTCTTTGGGTACTTAGAATGTAGAATAATGAAAAAAATTTCTTGAACTCAAATATTGTGAACCAGGGGGGTGTGTCTTTTCCAACAAAATAAAAATGGCTTGCGCACAAAATTTAAAAGCTGTAATCATATTTTGAGTTAATAGATGGAAAATTTGTCGGGTTTTTAATTACTGTACAAAATCTCAGAGAATTTGGTTTAGTTTAAGCCGTTTAACTATTCACGCAAAGTTGCATTTTTCCTAAAAATCAGCTATTTGCATGCTTAATTAATGCATTTGCCTAATTTGCATATGTTAGCAATATGCAAATTAGGTAAATGCATTAATTAAGCATGCGAAAGGCTGATTTTTTAGAATAAAATGAATAGTTAAACGGCTTAAACTAAACCAAATTGTCTGAAATTTTGTACAGTAATTAAAAACCAAACAAAGTTTCCATCTATTAAATCAAAATATGATTAAAACTTTTAAATTTTGTGCGCGAGCCATTTTTAGTTTGTTGAAAAAGACACACCCCCCTGGTTCACCAAATTCGAGTTTGAGAATTTTTTTTCATTATTCTACATTATAAGTACCCAAAGAAGCTATATATATAAAAAACGGGATACAAATAGGTGTTTTGCGAAATTGAGAGCGATTTCAAATCTGTTCAGTTTTTTTTTATACACCCTGTATAGTCTATATTACTTCAAGTGCTGTTATACTTACTTTTCCGGATAAAATGGATAAAATTCAACGAAAAGCTTCCCGAATTATACACAATAATACAGGCTATTTCAATTAAGGTTGTCCCCGAGTAAAGCGGAAAAGTCGAATACGAGCGCGAAAGACTTGCTGCGAATCGCTAAAAAATTAATTCTGGTTGTCTGTCATTAGCGGAAAATATAGACAACAGTTGTCTCAAAAACTAATTTTGAAACAAATTATTAAGGCCCCTGTTACAACATACCGAATTCGCATCGGAGCGACATCGAATGTTACTGCTTCGAGGTGAATTTAGCACTTATAAAATTATGATAATATAACATAATTAAACAAAAACTTCATATTTGAAAAGTTGTAATAGCCGATAAGACTGGAAAACACCTTAAATTGATGTCGCTCCGATACGAATCCGGTATCGCATGTAACTGCATGACCTAAGTCGGCTATAGTGCATGGTGATCATCTGTCGTATCTAATACCAGAAACCAGATTTCAGAAACATGGCCGCAAACTTCGAAACAGCGGAAATCTCGATATTTTTAAATGTAACACAAAACGTTATAATAACAGCGTTTTCCCAACTAACGTTAGCTTAAAATATTTTTAGACATTTTACAGCAGTGTATAGTAAGTTACTGCTGTAAATATACAGGGTGTCTAAAAAAAACGCTATGGAAATTCAACAGGCTGTTGTGCATCACAAACTTAGCTAAACAATTCAATTTTTATATAGGACGAAAGAGCTGTTATTTAGCTTTTCACAATATGATACCTTTCTTAAACTGTAACGATGAGAAAGGGCCACATACTCGTCAAATAAAAATTGTCGGTCGAAATCACATTCTTCCACCGTTGGGAATTGAAATTACATTAATTATGCAAAGTTAATCAATCTATAAAAGCAACGCGAGTCTGCTGCATGCAAGGTATTTGTTTCGCTAAACGTTTTCATTACGAATCACGGATTACGAATCACGGATTACGAATCACACTGTAAATTTCAGGGAGTAAAAATTGCCCCAAAATATGGGGTAACATGGTTTCCAATGAACGCCCCGATTTTTTCGGGCGATTTTTACCCCCCTCAAATGGGGTAATTTTTACTCCACTCTTAAGGAGTAATTTTTACCCCATATAAAAATAGGTGTAATTTTTACTCCACTATTACGGGAGTAATTTTTACCCCATAGTTTTCTATGGGGTAAAAATTACTCCCGTGAGAGAGGTGTAAAAATTACCCCTATCTTTATAGGGGTAATTTTTGCACCTCTGTTACGGGAGTAATTTTTACCCCATAGAAAGTAGGGGTAATGTTTCTCCTCCAAACAACACTGCAAGGGAAGCAAATTAGCATGTGCAAATGATGCGCATGCATTACTTACACGAATCGCCTTAATACAACATAATAAACATATCACTCAAATAACAATCAATAAATGCTATATTTGAGAAATTCATAAGTGAATTGATTATTACTTAATTAAACTACATCTAATACAATATAATCATGCAGTCAAATACATGCAGTGCAATTAATAAACCATGTTTACATGCAGTATAAAAGATTTAACAATACCGGTCGCAACAATTTAAAAAGGAACCAAGATATAAATATTGAAAATTTCAAGATGTGGATTAAAACAAGACTTTATTTCAGGTATTCGTGCATAAATGAAAAAATTAAAACATTAATACCAGCTTATGTCGTGTCGTGAATGGGCACCATGCACGCTTGCCTTTCAAGGTAGAACCCGGATTCAATCCTTGGTTGGACCACTATACTTAAGGGCTTGCAATGATTGGGGAGAAAGATCTACCTTTACATTGATATACCTCGGATTCCCTATCAATGGGGCAGAAATTTATTATATAGCCTAACAGCTATACTCAATGAATATATCTTGGTTTTCACAATATGTTTATCTTCTGTTAGCTTATCAAAGCTATATAGCAACGTGCATGCTTAAACAACCCCACAACTATATATCAAACATCTTGAATATACAGAATCACGCATGAAGCTGTGACATGAAATTTTGCAGTGAAATTCTTTTCGCCGCAGCATCTTTAATGCCACACAAAATTATATCAATGGACAAGAAAACGTCTTTCCATTTTGGAGGGTAAGAGTCTAAGAGATGTTAAAAACATAGTAGGGCAAAAAAAAATATGTGGGTTTCCGGTTTTCCGACCCTACCTAGCTTTTGGACGTCGAAATCCCGACCCTAAACTTTTTTATTGGATCATGCTTGTAAGTGTTTCCACTTAGAGGAAAAAGTTTGTGGAAAATTGAAATTTGAGGCAATATTAGGGAAATTTATCTTTGGATGTGGAAGCACTGACTAAACAAAATGGCGTCCGCTTGTTCGGAAAAATAAAAAAAAAAGTTTAAAAAAAAAGTTAAAACCGACCTACCTTACCTAAGTTTTTATAAGAAGAAACCGAAAACCCACATATTTTTTTTTGGCCCAGGCAGCGTGGAGTGTGAGAAGGGCGCTGCAAGGGTGCTGCATGTCAATTGTCATGTCATCTCCAAACTTAACAATATTTTCTCCTTCAGTGCAGATATAAATGCAACGTTCAGGTCATATTTTGTCCCCAGCTCCAAGGACCATTTTAAGGGAACTTGGATGATCTGTGCAGGTCAATTTATGAGTCTGGATCATCCTAAAATGTTAAATGGATTATAATTTTTTTTAAGTTGAACAGCGAAATGGAATAAATGGTATAAGCAATATTTAAACTGTGGAACCAGTTAGTCGTAAGTGATGACAGCATCCCAATTAAGTCAAGGCTTGGAACAGGAGTAACAATTTTAATGTAGGTCAAATATAGATGGTTATTCACTTTCCGGGTATATTTCGATGCTGTATTAACCCACAACCCGCTTGGTTAACACACAGGCGGCCCAGACGTGTATTAGTGTGTAGTAAATATATCATTATAGAATATACTACACAGTAAAATTTGTAATGAATTTTATATTTTAAAATCATATTTACTTGCCTACTTTGATTGTATGTGATCGTCTTTTATTTCTGAGCGACTTTACATTCGATGCCTGCGACTGC